CACGAATCTATGAATCTCCAAATATTAATTAAAGATTCATTCGACCAAAAAAAAAAGATTCAAAATGATTCAAACGATTATTTTGTTCCATTCTTGAACCCGTCAATAACAAGATGAATGTCTACTAGTTCGTCAATAACAAGGTAAATGATATAGCTGGGTACAAAATATAATTATCAAACTATTTAAATGCAATATGTTATATAGTGAACTATTTTTATCACTATACATGATTGAATAGCTAACTATTCCTATATAACCAGTGAACTATTTTAGTTAACTATATTTAATTATAAATGTTATTTAGCAACGATAAATATAAACTAAAGATATACAATCATAAAGATTATATAGTTAATATATTATTACAATTGAATTAGTTACTGTAAATATTATATAGTTTACTATATTATTAATTGAATAGCTAACTATAACAACATAAAAAAATAAGAATATAGTCAACTATACAAAGTATGAATTTTAGCTAACTACAACAACATAGAAGATAGAAATATAGTCAACTATACAAATCTCTTCTTGCTTTTGAAATCCGCCGACTCCAATAACATTAGAAGTAGGAATATAGTCAACTATACAACCGTTTGAGATTAATGTTGGAATTTTAGTTAACTACTAAATATAGTCAACTATACTACTGAATCAAGATTAAGATCAATCTCGATTTTTTTTCCTCTAGATATCAAGCTGATTGATTCTTCCACAACAAAAAAAAACGATGTGATGCAAATATTTTTAGAGATTTTTTATTATTTTCTTTAAAATAAATGATTTGACTACTTTTCTTAATTTATATTTTGATTGACTTTTACCATTTTCTTTTCTTAATTTTTGCAAGGGCAATTTCGTCCAACTTTTTGTTCTCTCTGCTATATACCAAAATCTCATTATGCATATGTTAGTTTCATAATTATCTACCGAAACACTAATATTAAGCTAATTAACCTATTTTAAAACCCTATATCTTAAAATTCTAAACACTAAAAAATGTTTGACCCCTAAACCCCCCTAAACCCTCATAACTAAACCCTAATAGAACATTGTTAACCCAAATATAAATAACATAAAGAAAAAATAATTTTGAAAAAGTGACATTTTCTTAAAGATTTAAAAAGTGTGGCATTTTTGTAAAGTGGCAATTGAAAAGTGGCATCTTTTAAAATTTCTCTAAAATTATTAGCATATACGAAATGTAAATTTTTCTAAATATAAGAATATATAGTAATAAAATTTCTATAAAATATATGTTGCTTACATGGAATATGTGGTTGTGATATTTGTTACAAATACGGTAAATAAATTATGTTTTCACAAAATAAAAATATAATTATCGATAAATTAATATATGGTTATTAAAAAAAAATACTCAGTCTACATGTTTATTTGGACAATGTGGTGATCGAGG